TTTCTCTCGTAACGCAGAGAAAGGAAACTTTTCCAGTCGGAAATCGCATCAGGAGAGGAGAGGAAGATGGAGTCAGGAGAGGACAAAGAGATCCTCGAAGGCAAAGAAACGTTTTCTCCCTTTACGCAGACAGTGACGAACGTCTGACTTGAGATATAGGACGCGTTCCGTTTGTAGTTTGAAACAAAATGCTTAATAAGGCATAGACAAACAAAGGAAAAGGAAAGAGAGATTTTTAGAAGAAAAAAAAAAATCAGGGATGGTACCCAGTTGTGCACATCTTAACCCAAACGCCCACACCTGGAGTTCGGGTCACAGGTCTATACGGGAACCTTCGGATCCCAGACCCCCGGACCGAATGGACTCGGACACAGCACCAACGTTGCACAGGGTCACCAGTGAAACCAGTCTGGCTGATGTGACAGCGGCGGTGCACATGCCAGCCCCCGCTCACTCCACTTGAGGGGCAATCGGGACCCGCACCTCAAAGGGGCCGGGAACACCAGAGGCGGCCACTTTATGGAGTGCACGTGGCTCCGGTCACGCACGTTTCTCCTCGAACGCTCTTCTGAGCTGCCCTGAGTACAAGTCATCTCTGCCTCATGTTCAAGTTAGGACGTGGGAGCACCCGAAAGCTCATGAATGAATGACCTTGAAGAGGTCATTCCCACCTGGGGAGCGCAGAGCAGCCTTCCACAGACCTCGTCGAGATGCAGACCCTCGGGGCGAGCGCGCAGGGGCTTCGATGCTCCTTGAATCCGGGAAATGGCCTGTCATAGGCACTGTGGGCGACATTTCGGAAGGCCGTGAAACCCACATGCAATGACAAATCTATAGACATCATCCTGTTGGCCAAGGGTCTTAACTCCCCTTGCGGGCAACAGACAGCAAGCAGGGGCTGGCATGGCACCAGCAGCCGGACTTCCAACTCCCTGATAGAACCTGAGGTCTGTGGCACCAAGGAGCTTTCATGCGACAAACGCCACTGCAGATGCTGATGTCGCCGTGACCGCCAGGTACCACTGTGCGCCGTCAGTGATGACTGGAGGGGAATGAACAGCAATCAAACACCCAGTTCTGGAAGCTCCACCTGATGCTAACGTGGCACTCGGCACCCTAAATCATTTCGCAGTTGACCTGTTAACTTCAGGTCACTGTGAAGTTCACAGCTACCTGTGACAGGCGAGGCTGGAGGGGGCATCTTGTGGGCAGGGCTGGCCGGAGCTTCGGCGTCTGTGAGACCTCGGTTCCAGTCTCGGTTCTGATACCTACAAGCGGTGTCACTGTGAGTCAATCCCAGCACCTCCGAGCCTCCATGTCCTCGGAAGTAAGATCAGTGACCCCCTCCACGAGTTCATGATGAGTTAGTGAAGGGAGATTGATCTACAGCAGCCCACAGCTGGCCACGCAGCAGGCCGTTGATTCCTCGTTGCTCAAAAGCATACAGACGGCAGAGTTTTGAAGCAAAAACAAATTAGAACATGCGTGACACATCAGATCATCCAGTAACCAGAATGGTTAACATCACGTGAGCTAAACTAGAATACAGGTCCGGATAGATTTAGACTCAACCAACCGGCCACGCCAAAGGCAAGCGTATTGGAGACGATTTGTGAGGGGTGGGAGAGGTGAGAACCACAAATAAATAAAGCCAAGCTTTTTCTATCCGTTTGCATCAGCAAGGGGCTTCTTCTTTTATGTCAAAGGCCTTTGAACTATCATCAAAAAAAAAAAAGGAGGCGAATTTGATGGAACTCAAGTTCTGGATTTATACCCCTTCCTAATGAAAAAGACATACAGCAGAACGAATAAGAAATATGCTCGTAAAAGAACATCTCTGAAAATAAATGGAACACAGTTAATCACTGGCGCTCATGTGGGCGTAAATAATCGCTTTATGGCCATGATGATCCAAACCTAGTTTATTAATAGCAGATTAAGAACCGGATCAGGCAATAAATTTTAGGGTCGATGGCTAGCGAGATTGCATCACACTTGTGATTAGAAAAAACAAAACACTCCTATTTCACAAAGCGAGCGTGAAGATCCCTTCATTCACTCCACAGGATAAGTGTCATACAATTATATTTTTTAATTAAAGTGGTTCAATTTAGATGATGGTATTTGATGGATATTAGCCATTACATGTGTGGCCAGTTGCACTGATTTCTCTGGATCAATAAGGAAATTAATACCACATCAGTGACATCACTAACAGAGGAAATTAGAAGGTAAGCGGGTATACTCGTTGCCGGTTATGGCTCTGAGACTTCCAAGCCCCAAAAGCATTGGACCTTGATACTAGTTACCCAATAACCTCGCGAGGGAGAGAAAGTTACCATCTTCTACAGAGACTCAGAAAAATTATCTGACTGTCTCCGTGTCACGTGGAATAGAGGGAAGATGCTGGTTCATTTCTGTCTCTTTGTAAAATCTATGTTCTTTCCCGTGGCGACATCCTGTTCCGGTTTTGCCATAATTCATTTTTTTTAACACTTTTATTTGGGATAGGACAACGGCACTCATTACTCTGTTAAGAAAAAATAATAATCACAACAATGCCTAACGATATTTCTCCACTCCTGAGGCAGGAAAGTAGCACTTACGATTTATGACTTGTCGAAGAAAAGGAACTCACACCAAATCTCAACCTTTTGCAAAAACACTGAGCTGTTCCTATCCAAAGCGGTTAAGTAAAAGGATGACCATGGAGTATGTTGGGCCATTTTCTCTGATCATCGTTTACAAACCTGGATGCCAGCCCTTTCTGAAAATTTTTGAGACAGATAAGACCTATTTCCTAAGACAATAAAGCGAATGCCGGTCAACAGCTTTCTAGAGAATGATGGCAGAGGCAAAGTCCGTGATAAAGATAAACGAAGTCACATTTCGAAACCGTATCACCGCATCTCATCGCCGGAGTTGGCACGCTCGACTCCGTCACATAAAAGGGGTCCGTCTGTCGTCTGCCGGGCAGCCTCACGGTGGCTCATTCGCGGAATGGAAACAGCCCCGCACAGAGGTGCTGGAACGCCTCTGTTATTTGTCTGCCACCCGCCTCACAGCTCTCTCTGTCCCTATGATTTTTCTAAACTCTCCATAGGAAAAGTAAACTTAACATAGTTCAATGGAAAAAAAAAAAAAAAGAGTCGTAAAAAGGAAGGTTTTATTTTTTCCTTTTCTTAAAAAAAAAAAAACAAAAAAACAATCACAAAGAGGTGTGTCACTCCCGTAGTACTTTTCAAGATCAGCACTTATTTCAGAAACGGCCCGAAGCGATAATAGGTCACTGTGGAGAGGTGCTTTGTACCGTCTGGCATGAGAGCAGGGGCCATCGGTTTCTTCTGAAGTCTCAGCTTTTAAATTACGTGCACACGTCATGCACGCAAGAGAAGATTTGATGACTGCACCAAAGCCAGAACTGGCTCAGTGCCCGTTTGCTTCATGCAGTAAACAGCGCCCGGAGCTCGTCGCCACTATCCTGACGTCCGACACACTGCCCTCTTTGAAACGGCTCAGTGCAGGGCTCGGGTGCTGCTGTTTCTCCCTCCCTACCTCTTTCTTAGAATGGACCTTTTGTAAAAGATCAAGAAACACCATTTCCTGTTTGCAACATGAGTGGCCAAAACCAGGAGCCAAGAGGCCTCGGAAAAATACCCGTCGGTCCGCGGAATTAGCTAAAAGGATTCCACAAAGATCTGGTTCACAGAACTGACGGAGAAAAAGAGTATGACATAAAGTCATGAAATGAGGAGGCTTTTAGATGGCTTTAAACATCGACGGGGGAAATACTACTGTAATAAGTATGCATGGCGTCAGGTGGGCGCTGGATTCATCGGGGGAGTCACGTCGTAAGTTACATAAATGTCTAATCAATGTGTTATCCACATGAAACTAATGGAATGTTGTATGCCCACTGTAGTTAAAAGATAAATTACTTTTCAAAAAGTCCAGTAGGGGATTTTGACTAGTTTATCAATGCTCCAAAAGGTACAAGTCTGCAAACATCTGGGAGCGGTTTGATTTCTAGGTTAGAAATGCACTCCACGACTACTCACCTGCTTCTCGGCTCCTTGACAGGTGATGTTTTCACTCACCAATGGAAAAAAAAAGCTCAGAAGAAAATTAAAATCAAGTCGAAACCAGGATATGCTCGGTAATATTTACCCATGTGGAGCAAACGTTTGCAGCCACATTGCTTGTCTGACAAAGCTCCTTTAAGCCGTTTCATTTTTTTTAAAAATATTTTCCCATGACCACACTGAGACATAGAGATCTCACTCTCATAATCACATAGCTGAAAATTCCATTTTCTGCACCATTTCAATGCGTTTTTGTGTTGGAAACAAACATCGTTGCATACGTCTAGGAATAGTATATTCATAAAGTGTCTGACGGCAGGCAAAACCACAGAAGAAGGTAAATCTCAAAATATGACCCCATAAAGACATATTTTTCCCCACACCCAGCTGGGGAAAAATGGATTAAACACCAAAGTAATGGAGAATCACCCTCGAAAAACCATGCACTTAGCCAACGTCCTTTTACTGCACATCATAAAACGTTTCAAATTTCTAAGAAGCACGAGGTGGCATTGCATGCAGATGCAAACACCACATGACCGCACGGCAGTTCACGTGACCACCCAGCAAGCGCAGATAATCCGCTACGGAATTAGCTCTGAGATTTCCCAGCACACAAGAAACTAAACGATGCACCTGCACAACCGCAGAAGGAAGCTCACGTTTATGGCCGTTATCAACCATTGCCACAGAACCATCCATTACCAAAGGCGTCCTCACAGGCTTCGCATCACATAGACTGGGCCATCGGAAACTCCCAAAAGGAACACGCGGATCCTCTACGTCAAGTGAGCTCTTTAAAGAGAATCTCCTAGGCATACGAGTAATACAGTTCCAATCCGATCGTCCCCACAGCATAGAACACGCGGGGTCCTCATTCCTTCCGGCACCGTGACACAACAGGATGGACTCACTCAC